TCCTGCTGGCTTCATATTCTCTATCTTCTTCTTTCTCCTTGCACTACATAGCCTTAATAAAACATTCCAAAGAAAGTAACATCTTCAAAGTTCTTCTCTTTATTTCTTATTCTTTTATGGGGTGCTTCTTGTTGCTGGTCTTGTACTCATGCAGTTAGATTTCTGAGTAGATGAATTCTATTTTACAACACCAGGAGTTTTCTTCCTTGTACGTTTGATTTCCGTTTGCTGTTTAGTGTGAAAATGGGAAAACATTGGTCTTTCTTCCATGTTATGGGTACCCTTTTCGTTTTGTCCAAAGTGTGTTTAGCTGGGACTCAATACACTGGAAGGGTCTCACCCGTGTTGAAGGGTTCTCAAATGAATTGGATTGACAGAGATGGCATGTTCCTCTTGTCGAATGAGGGACAATTTGCCTTCGGATTTGTCACCGTAAGTAATGACAGCACCAAGTTTGTACTTGCAATCACCCACGTGGCTACTTCCAGGGTGGTTTGGACTGCTAATAGAGCAGTTCGTGTTTCTAATTCCGACAATTTTGTGTTTGATGAAAAGGGCAACGCTTTCTTACAGAAAGATGGAACCGTGATATGGTCCACAAACACTAGTAGCAAAGGGGTTTCTTCAATGGAATTGAGGGACACTGGGAATTTGGTTTTGCTTGGAAGTGATAATAGTACCATAATTTGGCAGAGTTTCACCCATCCAACGAATACTTTGTTGCCAAATCAGGAGTTCACAGAGGGAATGAAACTCATCAGCGATCCAAGCTCAAACAACTTGACCCATGTTCTTGAGATCAAGTCTGGTGATGTTGTTCTCACCGCAGGTTTTCAAACTCCGCAGCCTTATTGGACTATGCAAAAGGACAACCGCAAAGTCATCAATAAGATTAACGGTGATGCGGTGGCTTCAGCAAACATTAGTGAAAACTCATGGAGGTTCTATGACAAAAGCAAATCGATGTTGTGGCAATTCATTATCTCTTCAGATTCAGGCACTAATGATACTTGGATTGCTGTCTTGGGGAGTGATGGCTTCATCACTTTCTCGAACCTCAACGGTGGAGTGTCAAATGCTGCTGCTGCTCCAACAATACCTCAAGATCCTTGTGATACACCAGAACCTTGTGATGCATACACCATATGCTCAGATAACCAAAGATGTAGCTGCCCTTCTGCTGTTCCTAGTTGCAAACCTGGTTTTGATTCTCCTTGTGGTGCTGGCTCAGAAAAGTCCATTCAGCTGGTTAAAGCTGATGATGGACTTGATTACTTTGCACTTCAATTCCTTCAACCTTTTTCCAAAACTGATTTGGATGGTTGCCAAAAATCTTGCCGTGGAAACTGCTCATGCCTTGCTTTGTTCTTCCACAGAAGTTCAGGGAACTGTTTCCTGTTGGACAGTGTAGGAAGCTTTAAGAAACCTGATTCTGATTCTGGTTATGTTTCTTACATCAAGGTATCGAGAGATGGAGGCACTGGCGAGGGTTCTGGGGGCAGTGGAGGTGGCAATAAGCACACCATAGTTGTTGTGGTCATTGTCTTATCAACCTTGCTAGTCATTTGTGGTATAGTCTTTGTGGGAGTTAGATACCACAGGAGAAAGCAAAGGTTGCCCGAGTCTCCTAGACAGGATTCAGAAGAGGACAATTTCTTGGAGAATTTAACTGGTATGCCAATTCGGTACAGCTACAAGGACCTTCAATCTGCCACTAATAACTTCTCTGTGAAGCTTGGACAAGGGGGGTTTGGATCAGTTTATAAAGGAGTTCTACCTGATGGGACTCAATTAGCAGTGAAGCAGTTGGAAAGTATCGGACAAGGGAAGAAAGAGTTCAGGGCTGAAGTTAGCATCATTGGAAGCATTCATCACCTCCATTTGGTTAGGCTCAAGGGATTCTGTTCTGATGGAACTCATAGGCTTCTTGCTTATGAGTACATGCCTAATGGCTCCTTGGATAAATGGATATTCAAGAAAAACCAAGGTGAGTTTCTGTTGGATTGGGATACTAGGTTCAACATAGCTTTAGGAACAGCTAAAGGACTTGCTTATCTGCATGAAGATTGTGACTCTAAGATTGTTCATTGTGACATCAAGCCCGAAAATGTGCTCCTGGATGATCACTTCATGGCCAAGGTTTCGGATTTCGGGCTGGCTAAGCTCATGAATCGAGAACAGAGCCACGTTTTCACAACACTCAGAGGCACCAGAGGCTATCTTGCTCCGGAGTGGATAACGAACTATGCTATATCAGAGAAAAGTGATGTCTACAGCTATGGGATGGTGCTGCTTGAGATCATTGGGGGAAGGAAAAACTATGATCCTGGTGAGACTTCAGAGAAATCTCATTTCCCAACTTATGCTTTTAAGATGATGGAAGAAGGGAAGCTGAGGGATATTTTTGACTCGGAGTTGAGAATTGATGAGAATGATGATAGGCTTCAATGTGCTATAAAAGTTGCATTGTGGTGCATACAAGAAGACATGTCAATGAGGCCTTCTATGACAAGAGTTGTGCAAATGTTGGAGGGTCTTTGTACTGTTCCTAAGCCACCAACCAGTTCTTCCTTGGGTTCTCGCCTTTACTCCAATGTGTTCTTCAAATCTTCCAGTGAAGGAGGCACCTCTTCTGGCCCATCTGATTGTAACAGTGATGCTTATCTCTCTGCGGTTCGTCTTTCAGGGCCAAGATAACAATAGCTGTTTCTTGCTATTTTTTTGGGTGTTGTATTGTTGAGTAAATAAGTATGTAATGTAGCAGAGTCTTCAGGTTTAGCTACTCTTGATTGTGTGAGGTTTTCATGCTTCCCGCTCTTGTACATTTTGTTCAAGTTCCTCAAATTTTGTAATATAAAAAGCTACTCATAATCATCCTGCGTTTCTTTCTCTTTCTTTTTAAGTCGAGTAATTTACAACCAAGTTATTTTTCAACTTAGAATTCAAAGGATACTACTTTAATTCTATCCTACAAAATCTACTATAGATAATAGGTTTTATCAATTCAAAATAGATATATTTCCAATCATGAGGAGAATTCCAAATTTGGATTAATCAAAAGGTGCTGTCAACTTTCACAAAAATAACTATATTTGTTTTCTTTATTAAAAAATATATATATTTGCCTATTGCCAATTTCCCATTAAAAAATATCCTGTTTGTTTTAATTTAAAAAAAAAACTGTATTTTTTTTAGAAAAATTAAAATATAGTATATTCGTAGTTTTATGCAGATTTATTTTATACACTTCTGTACATGTTTTTTTTTTGGGGACATACATGAATACAGAGCCTGAATAAATGTAAACTGCACAGAAAGTTTATTATCTATGAAGAAAAGAAAACGATTAGTGAATATCAACATAAGATGATATTTTTTTAATCTATAAAAAAAAAATAATAAAAAAGTTGTATATAATATGAGGTACAATGTTATTTTTATATTAAAATTAAAATAGTTAAAGTGTAAATGAAATTAGTAGCGAGGAGGTTAAAGAAATAAGATGCGGTTGATTGTGTGGCGTCCCGTAGATAGAGATAATGAGATTGGGTGTGAGTAAAGACGTTGTGCGGTGCTCAATCGGCACCACTCCGGGTGAGTCCAAAACCCATTTTCCCGCCAAATTACAACCTTCATCTTTCTCAACGGTCAAATTCCGCACCGACAATGCTTCTTCAGGTGAGGGACACAATCTTGAACCTTAAACTCTGTCGGATAGGGTTGCTTTTGTGCTTATACACAACGGTATCGTAGATTTAGCGGTTTCAAGTAGTAGCAGAAGAGGGCTAATATGCATAGCCACGTTGCCATGTCTTCTTCCTCTCATAGGCTCTCTCCCAGCCAACGCCATGCAGTAAGTATGTATATAGCTAATTTTCGATATTGTGCATAAAAAAACATTCAAATCACAAACACATGTTCTAGGAGTAAAATATAAGAAAAAAATTATATAAGCTTTTCATGAATTAAATTTAGTTTATCTCTAAGTTAATTTGTAAAAGCTGTCTAATATTAGTTTCTTCAAAAACTTAATTTTAATTTACGCATAAGTTAGGATGCGAAGAAGCTTATTTTATTTTTTCTTGTGATTTTTTTCTGCTAGAAATGGTTATAGAAAAGTTTATCCATATGGGTCCTTGTAATATTACATTTATGTCTTGAATACGTTGTGGTCATTGAAGGCCAGGTGCAAAGGAATATCTTCTCATTAAAGAAGAGGTGAGGAAAGTATTGTCAAAGGCAAAGGCTGCGGGTGTGCTTCGTTTGGTTTTCCACGATGCTGGAACCTTTGATATCGATGACAATACAGGTGTGATACTTACAGTTATCTGAGGGACTCAAAGGAGTTGAAATTTCATTTTTGACTCTCTTGTATAATGAGAGTAAAACGTTTTGGGAAAAGGACTGACATCATCAGGGGGTTTAGAATTGTTTTCAGTTTCAGATACTGATTAAATATGTATATGTAGCTAGTCTGCAATTGGGGTGTCAATGCTGTTGTTTTGAGTTTTGACGGAAATAATTAACCAACCCTGCATCCTCTACTCCACATGCTTTCTTGATCTTCAGATTTGGCATCATAAGCATAAAACTAAACTATGTAGAATTCCAAGCCAAATCTGATTTTATATTGCCAACTTCTTTGTTTCCTACATTCCGAGAATTTTGAGTCTTTTAGGAAAAACACTAATCGTTGCTACAAAACCATGCGAGTGAGGAGTTTAGGTAGTGATGGCCTTTTCAGATATGTAGTGAGTTGCATGGCTGATTTGTTTCAAAGAAAATTATCATGTGATTTTTCTCCTATGTAATGAATCAATATGGAAAATTTAAGCCTCTATGTTATGGCTGTGGTTAATTTCTCTTTTTAAAAACTGTAGTTTTTTTTTAAAAAGGAAAACAAAGAAAAAGACACATATACCAAGTCCTTGCCTTACCCCATACAATACCTCGCCAGATGACTCACACCCTTGAGCTCAGACCACAAAACAAAAGAAGAGGATGAAAAACAAATCTCCCAACTAACTTCTCTGTTTATTACACTTGTTTTGGAAACAATTTTCAAAACTTAATAGATTTTCTGATTTTGGATGAAAAATTGATTGCTGAATAGCATGGAATTATTTTAGAAAACGATTTTTAAAACCAAAAAATGAGGAGAAATCAAGCAAACCCTATGTCTCCCATTTTCTCTTTTCTTTTCTGCTTCCAATTGCAGAAGTAGCTGTAGCCTTTGGTCATTAATTGAATTTTTTAGGTGAATTTTCACAAGATATGAACCAAGAAATTAGAAAGGAAACTGTGCAGTCTCTTACTGTGTTTTCTTGGTAACAGTGACATCACCGGAGTGTTTCCTTTCTCTTATCAAGTTCAAAATGTATATATTGCACTTTTCATGTTGTTGCAGGTGGTATGAATGGTTCTATAGTCTACGAGCTTGAAAGACCTGAAAATGCTGGCCTGAAAAAATCAATAAAGGCATGCTTTGTCTCACTTTTTTCTCAGACCCCTTCTATCATCTTTTTATATATATATATATATATATATATATATATATTATTTGTAGAGCTCCACATGATTGTATGTTCTATAGTTTAAATTTCTCGATCATTAACACAAATATCTTATCTTACATTTTAACTGCCAGCTAATATCTCAGTGAACGTATCACGTATTGTTTAGGTTCTGCAAAAAGCAAAGACTCAGATAGATGCTATCCAACCAGGTCCTTCTTCTATCTGGTAACGCTGCTAATAGTAAGTTATAATTTGGTCTACACCAACAAACTTTAGTTTACCGTTATTAGTATCTTGGGCGGACATGATTGCTGTGGCTGGAGCTGAAGCAGTTGAAGTATGTGGAGGTCCACCTATCCAAGTTTCATTGGGTAGAATAGATACACTGTAAGGTGCTAGTTGTCTAGTACTCTAGTTAGTACATATGATGTTACAAGCAACTATTCTTTTCTTATAATGATGAAAAACAAATATTTATGTTAGTTTTAGTGCATTAGGTTCTCTGAAAATATTTTTTAAACAGTTATTCAGTTATTGAATTATGTTCAACCTGTTGGTTAATGAATGATCAACCATTTTGCAAATATAAAAAATTCCTCAATGGGAATTTAAAACATTGGTTGTCACATAATAACGAAACCCGGTTGTATTTGGATTCATTTAGACTATCAAATAATATTTGCATTCATTTTAATGATAGGGTTCCTGATCCTGAACAGAGGCTTCCTGAGGAATCTCTCGGTGCTTCTGATTTGAAGAAATGTTTCCAAAGAAAAGGGTTTTCGTGAGTATGAGGAAAACTCTCAAATTTACTTTTGTATTTGTATTCTATAAAGTGTTATTTATTTTATACCTATTTTAGACTAGTGCAGGTATACATTATCTAAGAGCCGGTTGATTGTCCATAACTTAACATGAGAATCTTATCATTACATTTACAGACAGAAACTGAATCTTATATCTAGTGTTTTACTGAGCAAAAAATCACTAATCATGTGTTTATTAGTTGTTGTATAAAATTTTCAACATATTTTACCAGAATTAATTTTTCTTATGCATCCTTATCCTTTTGGAGCTTTTCTTTCACAGAACACAAGAACTTGTGGCTTTGTCTGGAGCCCACACACTTGGAAGTAAAGGCTTTGGAAGCCCAATTTCTTTTGACAATTCATATTATAAGGTTCTTTTGGAGAAGCCGTGGACATCTCCAGGTAATCTAACAGCTTAGTTTATCTGATTGTTTTATTTTTGTAAACTTGCTACCTGTTCTTATTTTCTGAAGCAATTCTCTTTAACAAAAACAATAAGGAAATGCAGGAGCTGAATGTATGTTAGGCTTAGCAACTGGATCATCACGTAATCTATGTCCTTTCTGGATCTTAATATTCCGATCAAGTATCAGTTTCTTTGGCATCAGTTGCGCCTTCCATAAACTACTATAAATGACATTAATCTCTGTGATTGTATGCTCATTTTTCTGGATAGGCCTAACATATTTATTGATTTGTTTTTGTCATTCCTTATATATATATATATAATTATTTGTATAATTCTCATCCGCCAGTTCTCTTTTATGCAGGTGGTATGTCAAGTATGGTTGGCCTTCCTTCAGATCATGCTCTAGTTGAGGACAATGAATGCTTAAGGTTCTTTATCTTTATCTTTTGACAACCTCGTATGCTACCCTTAATATGAAATCAACCTTTTTCCTTTCTTTTATGGCCAAGCACTAAAGTTTTAATTAAAAAAAAAGTGATAAATCCTTTAAACAATATCAATTTGTATGAACAGATAAAACAATTAAATGAGAAATATTTCCTTTTCTTATTTGTCAGGAGTGTAGAAAATAACAAGTAATGTAAATAGTCCGTCAATTGAAAACAAGTAACAACCGCATATCAATTGGTAAATGGTAATGCATAAATTTTGTGAGTTAGATTTGTCTGACACTATAATTCATGATTCATTGTGTCTTTATCTAGTAAACAAGATCCTTGTCTCTGGAGTACTAGTTTATAGACCACTAATCATTGAATTTCCCTGTTCGAGACTTCTAGTTGAAATCTGAAATGTTAATTTTCAAACAGTAAGGTCATGACCCTGAGCCTAACGCATGCTCCTGTTCAAATGCTTATATTATAGTTGTTTGTTGGCCTTAGGACTCAATTTCTGATGATTATTTTTTTTGTGCATGTTAGCAAACAACATGATGAAAACAATATTTTGTCTTTTTAATAAACTAGACTCAGTATTGTCCATCAAAAATGCCCATCAACCATGTATTTTGGAGGGTAACAAACATAGTAACACTTTAGCAAATTCACGTGCATGTCACATATCCCGGTGCACTGTATGTGTATGTTTCTGGTAACTATATGTACCTTAATGTGCATAACTTAGAAGAAGTACGTTTGTTGAACAGATGGATTAAAAAATACGCAGACAGTGAGAATCTGTTCTTTGAAGATTTTAAAAATGCTTATGTCAAGCTGGTGAATTCTGGTGTGAGGTGGAATGGCGTATAAATTCATGAGTTGAACGTTCCAACTTCCACTGAAGGGGCAACTTGTACTTTTATTGACTTGCTAATAGTGTTTATGCACAGTTGGCATGAAGTTGTAATGCTTCGAACTTCAAAATCTACTACCCCTAAAAAGTTGATCTACGAAGTATGTGCATATGCAGGACCAATAAATTTCATGGAAAAGTCATTTAAATTTGAACTTTGAAGGCTTGACATATGGAGCAATTATTGCATGAGCACAGTTCTTTTAAAAACATCCAATCAGAAACTTAAGATATATTTAAATAAGAATAGTAATAATAAATCAAACCAATGTGATGATTTATTGTACGTAGAAGATAGTAATCGAGGGAAGCAAAGAGCCATTGTCTCTTCAATGCACCTAAACACACCCAGGTTCTCAATACGTTCCATAAAGATGATTTTCAATAATTTTGGTGGTTTTTTTATACTTGTGGTCCTGGAAACCTTATTTTTATGAGTAAAAAAACAGAAAATAATGCATATCCATAATTTGTTTACAGAATGAGATAGTATATTTATTGACTCTTGGATGGAGGGATGAATGATTTTTATCATTTTATGTAAAAATTATCCAGAAATCTTGTTAAAGTCTTAAAAAATTCCATCTTTGCTACTTTACTCTTCCGCATAGAAAGATTGGTGGTGGATCACAGTTAGGCCAATGAGGAAATAGAAGGAAAATGAAAGGTAATGGTCTCGACCATGGTGAATCTGAATCAGCTATGCCTAGGGTTAAATAATAGGGATGCAATGAGTGTAATGTTGAATACTGTTACCGTAGGAGAAGGGTTACCAAATGCACTTTAAAAACGTTTAAGAACCCATAGAGTTTATTCTTAGCTAGCGTATGCCAAATGTGGGTGGAATTTTGTTACCATTTATTTATTTGGTTTTCAATTTACAGTCTTTTGGGTTATGGTTTGAATATGTGCCTTCGGGGTCACAGTTTTAGATTTATTTTATATGAGATCTTTATAATTCAGTTATTATTATTATTATTATTATTATTATTATTATTATTATTATGCTTTCTTAATTTTGGAATAACTTTGTAAGGCCAATTGGAGTGCCTATTTATCGTATTTATTTACATCTCTTAAGTTTTTTAAGTTTTATTTTAATATCAATTGAGGAAAGTTAGTCAGTTTATGTGAACATTTTATCTATTGAAGTTTAGTTTTGAATTTATTCGAATTTCCTCTATTTATTGATTATTAAAGATAAAACGTTTTGGAGAAAAAGGTATGACATGTCAATGATATAATTGTACAACTAAATAATGGATTATGGAAAAATTGTACATCTAACTTTAAAAAGTGCGATTTAATTTTTTTTATTCTTAAATAAACTTTTTATTTTTATTTTTTTTTCTTATAAAATTATTTTTATAAAAAAAGAGTATATTACAAAAACTAAAAGTATATTTTAGTTAAAAAAATATATTTATATTAACTATAATTATACCTTATTTTGGTAAAACATTCCCGCTTAATTGAATTGTCTTTTGTTTTTAACCAAGTACACATTTTTAATTGTATTTTACTAAAAATAAAAAAAAAATGTGGAGTAAAAAACATGAAAGAATAAATAATCATATTTGAATCATCTTAATTTCATTGAATACAATATTGTCACTTTCCCTCGTAGCTTTGTGGTTAGAGCATCATCTCAAACCTTTGAAGCGTGGGATCGATCCTGACACAGCCTCGGTAACCTAAATTAGTCAGATGAGGTATTCTAAAATACCATTTTGTTTTTCTAAAAAAAAAATCTAACATTTTTAGGCCTAAAAGATAAATTTTGCCCACTCATTTCTTTATTATGGAATTCATAAAGAATTCTTTTCATTTAGGGCATTTTTTGAACACAATTGTGGACTCGTCTACCTTTATAAAGGGCAATAACATTGTAAAGATACTATCTAGCACAACTACATTTACTCCACAATTGGTACTTAACTTAGCCATGAAATCAGCACATTGGTTTCCTTCTCATTTCAACTCTCAAAATTCTCTTAATAAAATTCTTGATCTCGGCAATAAGGACAACATACTTGTGGCAAGGATTTGTTCCTCCCAAAGAAAGATTGATAGCGTGCATTGAATCTGAGACACAAAGAATACTTTTGAATTGCTTTCCCCAAGCAAGGTCCAACCCATGTAAAATCACCAACAGCTCGGCCTTGAGGTTGTGTGTGCCCCCTATATCTCCATAGAAACCTACAAAGCCATCTCCTCATGCTGTCCCTTATGAAACCACCAAAACCTACAGGCCCTGAGCAATTATGAGCACTACCATCCACATGAAATGCCACTTGATCTTCATGTGTATGGAGTAGTTAATCCAACGATCCTTCTTAGTTTTCACACAAGTAGTATATTGTTTGAGTAAACTTTTTCATAAACACTTTTAGGAAGAAAAAAAAAAGAATAAGAAGAAGAAAAGTGAAATAATTTTTTCTTCAAGCTAAAATTAGTTTATTCATAAATTAATATGTATGTAAAAGTTCACTCCTATTAGTTTTTTTCGAAATTTTTGTATTTTGTTTTTCCTATAAGTGCTTCAAAATAAATATATTCAAATAGGCCTTATTTATGGTCCATATCCAACTACAAGAAATGTTGTTAATTTAGAATTCTCACTCAAAAAAACATACCAACAATTTGCAAAAATAATAATGAACAAGCTTCTATTGAGTTTTTTTTTTTTTCTCAATCAAGTGAAAGCTCTTAATTACAAAGTTTTAAATATCTTTAACATAGTGGCATTAGTTCCTAAGCTATTTTAACACTTTCAATTATGGTTGTGTACTTCTTAATTGGAACATACAATAAGTCTAATTAAGAATCCAAAAGAAAATATTTTATGGTTTTTCAACCAAAATTACAACATTTTTTTTAAAAGAAAAAAAGACAAAAATTAAATATTTTAGTTTTAAAAAATTTAAAATAAATTTAGCTAAATAAATTTTTGTCACGCTAATTTAATGGTAGTTAAACTATACTAGACATTAAGGTTTCCTCAATGAGATTTTAGTCGATGAAGGGTTATACTAAAAAATTATGTTAATTTATAGGGATAATCATTAATATTGAAAGCAAAGCGATTAAGTATATCAGGGAGAGCTTCCTCAATGAGGTTTTAGTTGGTGAAGGATTATAGTTAACAAACAATTGAATGAAGTATTATCGTATAAATTTTTGTAGAGTATGATCATTGAGACATTAAGTATGAGAGATTACACACAACATAATTTTTATATATTACCTTTAGACCTAATTATAAGTAATATAAGATAAATTATCGAGAGTAAGAAACGTAATTAATATGGTTACTTTTAATTATTTATACCATAAAAGTTTTAATTCAAATATACCATTTATTTTAAGTAGCTGTTATATTTAACGTTAGTTATGAGTAAATGCGTAAGAAATAAAGTTAACAATAAATGAATGGTATAAAAAATTAACCCTGAATAAATTTAAAAATTAATAATTATTGTTTATAATTAGGACAAAAAATATTTTATTTGTTTCTTATAATTAGAATCAGAAGTAATATATCTAAGATTTATAATAAATAAATAGTTTAAGTATGTTTTTAGTTATTATAAAATGAATGTGTTTTGATTTGGGTTTTTATATTTTTTTTTCATTCTTCTAAAATTTGTAAATATTATTTTTAATTCATGTAAAATGAATTAATTTTGGTTTTTGTCAAGACTAGCCCCCTAAGGGAGGGATAAGAGGGACATGGCTTAGAGAAGCTCAAAAATAATTTAAATAAATATATTATAAAGAAAAAATTTAACTTTTTTTTTTAATGACACTTCAATTTCAACTTATCAAAGTAAAGTTTGCAAAATTCCAATTTATATAAAAAGAAATTCAAACACCTACTCATAAGTAATATTTTTTTTATCTATATTTATTTAATTAATTATGAGAGACGGAAATATGAATTAAATATGTTTCTAATTCATATAATATACTCGTTGTATTTTTTAGTTCTTATAATTTTTTTAGTCTATTTTATATTATATTTCAATTTTAGTCCTTGATGTTATTTTTCAAGTTCTTATAAAATAAATTTTTTTGATAAAGTTTCTATAATATCTTATTTTATAATTTTAGTAATTAATTTTTCCCAATAGATGCTTATTCACATCATCAATAAATAGTGTTAGAAGCTAAAATTATAAAATAATTTTTATGGGACCAAATTAACTTTTTTTTTTATAAATATTAAAACCATAAAATATATATATTATAGTGACTAAAAATATATTTAAGTAAAGACATTTTATGTAATAAAATTAATTTTTAATAAAAAATAAGTATTTAAATTTTATTAAATATATATCAAAAGGGATGTTTTGGTTCCTATAAAATAATTTCTTTTAGATTTCATCTTTCTAAAATTTAAATTTATTATTTTTTTTTGTATTTAGTAATTATATTAAGATGGATAAATAACATGTTTTTATGATTTACAATTTTTTTTAAAGTGTAACATATTAACATGGTATCATAGGCAATTATGGTATCACCTAAAATGATCACTTGACGTTATAATAAACACATAAGTAGTTAAGTAAGATCTCATAATAGTAGGGATTAAAACATAGCTAAATTAAAATAGATGAGATGTTAAAAAATCCTTAAAAAATTATCCTTAAACAAATATAGCTAAAAATGCTATTGTTAAAAAATATTTTATAAAAATGCTCTTATTCAATATACTTATTCTAATTTGCATTGTGAGTGAATTAGAACGAGATTAAACACTTTTGTTTGAGTTTAATGAGTATATATAAAGTTTTTATACAATCAATGGATTAAAGGTTTGTTTGGAACAATTGCGAGCTTTTGGTTTCCAAATGCAATTTTCAAAATAAAATGCATTTGACAAGATTGAAGTTAAAATGGATAACTTATTTTCAAAACACTTACATTTATTTTCAAAACCAAGAAAAAAAAGGTTTTGTAAAGTTTGGTTTTAGTTTTTTGAAAAAACAAACTATCATTTCACTTAACAATACCTATTCTCGTCGCCACCACAAACACTAATGCTACAACCTCCAACATTGTCACCATCATTGTTATTGCCACCACCATTTACACCGTATACTGGATACACTCTTGCACCCTTGAATGTATGAAAATACCCCTAATCTCATACAAACTACTCGGTTCTTAAATGAATCGAGCACCCCTCAGTATTAGCCAAAATTGGACACACGATGAGCATATGGTAAGAACTCGTGGCTCATGCATGGACCCCTCGACCCATGAACGAATCGAGCACCCCCTAGATTAAACTCCAAACAAAACACACATTAAGAATATGTGGCTCATGCATGGACCCCCCCAGCTCCTAAAGGAATCGAGCACCCCTTAGGCCTTTACCATCACATAAAGGTGAAAGTCCAACAAGATAACATAATAAAGTATCATTTGGTTCAGGAAGAAATTGAGCACCCCTCGACGTTTACATACCCCTAATACACTAATTGGTTGCCACATGTAGTAAATGAGGGTTCGGTCATCACCAATACCAAACACCCCAATGACCCCTGATGAAGATACACCCTAAAAGGTATTATCAGCTTAACACCCTAAATTTTGAAAAACACTTTTCATCTAGCCAATAAACCAATAGATTAAGGGTAAAGTGTTAACATTAAGGTAAGTCATCATTGATCTTCATTTAACTACTTAATTTCCTAATTGGCAATCAGGAGCTAAGCCCAAAGGCCCACTGAGGCCAATAAGACCAATATAAATGATGGTAGGAAGGGTCAAAAGCACTATTCATGGATTAGACCACTCATTCATTTAATAATATTTATTGCTATGATTCGAACACTTACTTGAATGTCAAAATGTCATTGTAGGTATCCTACTCCGGTGATAGAAGACCAAATACACATTCTCGAAGAAAACATGAAGAAGTGGTTGTTGAAGTATATTTGAGAAGGAATATTAAGGCGTATCCTTGTAGGAACACACCACAACTAGGCATGGTAGCGGGGCAGGGCAGGGTGGGGGTGGATTTTATGTTCCCCGCCCTTGCCCCCACAAACTTAAACTGCCCCTGCCCCTGATACCTGCTAGTGATAAAATTTAGGTACTCATTCCCGTCCCTGACGGGATTCAGGTTTCCCCATCCCGCCTCCGCCCTTGCTCCAAGGCTTTTTTTTTCTTCTTCTGTTTCTAATAAATATGAAAAGAAAAACAAAAACAAAATAATACAAATATTTACATATAAAGGTTTCTAATTTTGGTTTATATATATATATATGTATATATAAGGATATTTTTTTAATTATATTATTAAACGGGATGGGTATTAACATCCTCGTCCCCGATTTTACCAATCAAGAAAAATTCGAACCTGAACCTAATCAAGACAAATTTTCCTTATCCAAATTGGGGCTGGTTCGAACAGGTACCTACGAGATCGGGTTAGAATGTCATGCCTAACAACAACTGCCATCACCACTAGCAATGTCATTACATCATTAGTACCATTGCTACTATTAGTATTATTATCGTCACTATGGCACGATTGTCATCGTAACCACCATCACCAACGTCATTATAGTTTCCATGACTAATAATATTGTCTCTTGCATCATTACTAATTTGCCACCAATTCTAACGTCACTATCATTACTACTACATGCATGTTTGGATACCAATTTAAAATCATATCCAACAGAAAAATATATATTCTAATGTAAACAAAGTAAAAATTTGTAAGTGTAATTTACAATCCTAATTGAGTTGAACTCAATTGGTTCTTGAACACATCCTATCACTGTTACATTACTATCATCATATAAATACATCTTTAAACTATATTTAATAAAATAATAAATTTCTAAAGTGAGTTTATTTTAAAACTAAAAACTAAAAGCTATACACTAGTTAGTAATTTTTAAACTTAAAACAATAAATTAATCTAAATAGGTTCTAAAATTTGTTTATGCATTATTTGTAAATTAGTTATTATCAAAATTAAAAGACTATTATTAATAATCGTGATTAGAAAACGGTATAAAAATATTTTATGTTGGTATCTATTTTCTCTTTGATTAATGATAGTTATGGTACATGTGTTGGTGATAATTGTATAACTCGATCTAACCGTAAATTAAGAGTACCGCAGAGAAAGCGACTTGACCTGACCTGGAAATTGAAATTCAGCATTTGGATTTCAAATGAAACCGTTGTCTCTCCTACA